AGGATAAATTGTTAAGGCTCCATGCACAGTGATGCATAGTAATATACAGAAGCCAATGAAAAACAGTAAATCTCTACATAAAGAAGTGTTGCTAAGTTATGATATTTAGTAAGTTAGATGTGCTAAAGATATTTTAGATTACAACATTTTCAATTAAGTATGAGTTTATTGGTTCACACCTCCATCCTAAATTGAAGACCACCTGTAGAGTATTGCCACATTCTATAAACTATATAAGAAGCAACTTCCACTTGGATTTTTAACTCTTCCCTGAAAATATTCTTTCCATATATAAATGTTTGAGTTCAAGTTATAATTTATTGTCCAAAAGATGTCAAGAATGATTTGATCACCCTGCTGGGCATGGTGGTGCACGCCTGTAATCCCAGCACTCGGGAGGCTGAGGCAGGAGTATCGCTATGAGTTTGAGACCAGCCTGGGCTACATCATGAGTTCCAGGTCAGTCTCAACTACATAGTGAGACTGTCTCAAAATTCGGGAGGCTGAGGCAGGAGTATCGCTATGAGTTTGAGACCAGCCTGGGCTACATCATGAGTTCCAGGTCAGTCTCAACTACATAGTGAGACCCTGTCTCAAAAAAACAAACAAACAAACAAAAAAGATTTGATCAGCATCAAATATATTCTAGTTGCCATGAAAGTTTAAAAGGAGAATAAAATACCTTACCTCTACCACTGAAAAGGCACATACAAAAGTAAACAGAATATCATTCACTGATGTATTAAGACAGAATATTTTTGAAATAGACCTACTAAGAAAGTTTACTAAGGAACCAGATGTTATTGAAGAACGCACAGGGTGTGGATTGATTGGTAGAAAGGCAAGAAGATATTCCATATGCAAGATAGACTGTTATAAGTTAGATATAAATATTTCCCCAAAATCTCTTGTATTTGAAAAGTGATAGATCATGGAGGAGTTATACTCTTTATTATATACATTAATTGATGAGTTCAGTAGTTGAATGTGCTATTAGGTGGGGTGCCTTGCTGGAGTTGGGTCACTGAGGCCATACGATGGAAAGGTGTATTTTTCTCCTTAGTTCCTTCTTGTTTGGTTTCCTGGCTGTAATGAATTGAACAGTTTACTTTGCCATGTCTTTCCATCAGGCTGGTCCTGACATGGAGCCAGAAGACCAGGGACAGAAAATACAAAACAAGATAAAACTTTCTCCTCTTTTTAGTTTTGGGTATTGGATATTTGTCTCAGAAGCAAGAAAGCCGACTAACATAAAATATTGGTACCAAAAAAGCAAGATCATAGCAGCTGTGCAGTCCAGAAGCTTTTGTAACTGGTTTGCTAGAGGAATCTGGAAAAGTTTGGAGATGCAAGGTAGAAAAGCCCTAGAATGCTGTAAGTAGAGTAAGATGGGAGACTCTGGAATGGGCTTAGAAGAGCAGAACACTGACAGGAATATAGACAGTAAAGTCTAGACTCAGGAGGTTTTGGTTAGAAACAAGGACTCCATGCAAGTGAAGTCATATATGTTACAGCTGTGCAGAAAATTTGCCTTCATTTTGCATAAGACTTTGCAGGAGACTGAGATTAAGAGGAGTAAACTAACCTGGTGAAGGAAATTTCAAAGCAGTCCAATGTTCAGCCTGTGATGTGGAAACAGTTTACTAGTTTTAGCCATATCTACAGTAAAAATCGGGAGCTAAAAGCAGATATGAAAAGCTTACATTCACCAGCCTTCAAAATTGGGGCCATAGAAAGCTTGGTTGCTGAAAAGGTTAACACTAAAAAGAAGCCAAGTAATTTGCACCATGACAATAGGAAAAACAGCTTAACTACATTTCAGGAATCAGAAAGACCCTACCCTTCCCAGGTCCAAGAGTGAAAAACTATGAAGCTTTCATTTGAGAGAGTCCCTGGGTGCCCTGTTCAAGAAGAGCCACCCAAGGAATTGGTTCAGAAGGATTCATTTCACAATGCTTAGCCATTTTAGGCATTTCTACTCCTCTGCATCCATGATCTAAGAGGACATGGCTACTGGGTGAGCTAACAGCAGACCTTGGCTTCATCTGTATTGTGCTGGTCTTATAGGAATGTAGGTTGAAAGAGTTATATGTTCATGGAAGCTTCCATTCTGATTTTTTTTTAAAGGCCTCGGAAGCCAGGCAGTGTACCCTTGAAAGCTGTGACAATAAAGCAAAAAATATCCTGGCAACGCAACGCCAGGAAGTTAAAATAGCCAGGAATGTGGATTATCTATTGAGGAAACCCATAACCAGTGAGAGACACCCAAGAGAGAGCCGATGTAGGCTGCAACCATCAATGCTGTATGAACAAGGCCACAATTTTCGAGTTCAAATCTTGCCACAACTTGATCTGGGTGCTGAACATGGATCTTTGATATTTAATATTTTCCCTGTTGGGTTTTCATCTTGCTTTGGTTTGATTCTTTCCTGTCCTCCTATTTCTCCTTTTAGGAATGAGAATTTTTAACCTGTGCCATTCTATTTTGGAAGCATTTGTCTTTTTATTTTCATAGAGACTCACAGCTAACAGTTTGCCTAAGGTCTCAGAAGATACTTTGGACTTGGATCTTGCAGTGGTGCTGGAACTGTTAAGACTTTTGGTGACTCCTGTAAATAGACTAAATGCATTTATATAATGACATGAACTTGAGTTCTCTGAGGTCCAGGGGCAGAATATTTTAGTTTCTATCTAAAATTGTCCCCCAAATATGCCATGTTTCTGGAAGGCGATTCGATGTTGGGGGGAATTGTGCTCATTTGTGGACTGACCCATTTGTGAGTTTAGTAGCTGAATGCACTGTTAAGAAGTGGGGCCTGATTGTAGGTGTATCACTGAGGGACATGAACTGAATAGCTTTCTTTCTCCATGCCTTTCCCCATCAGTTTCGTGGTGTAAGCTGATCATGGATTGCAACAGTGAGCCAAAATAAATCTCTCTTCAAGTTATGTTGTCAAGTATTTTGTCCCACTGACAGGAAAGTGACTATTAGAGAGACCATTTGGGAAATAGAATGAGAATGCATAATCATCAGTCAGAGGTTAACCAATGTGACTGAGGTAGACAGCTTTGGAAATAAGATGCTTATGATAGTTTCTAATTAGCTGAGAGTATTAAATGTCACACAAGAATCTGTTGAGAAAAACAAACCTCTCAAAGGATTGAAATAAGAAAATGACATGTTGTAAGGTTTACCTTAGATTAATTTAGAGACAGGGGGTTAAGAAATGCATTAAGGAACTAATAATTGCATTGGACACTTTCAATATGTACAGCATCCTGGAAAAACATGAAGACTGTAGAGTGGGTATGATTGACTGAGACTCTCAACTTCTCTACTTTCTAACTAAATGACTCTGGAAAAATTTCTGAAATCCCTATCCTACAGTTTTCTAATCTAAAATTGTGACAAAATAGAGTACTTAGCTCAATGGGCTACTACTAAAATTAAAAAAAAATTAATACAGGACAAAAGCTTATAAGAGTTGACCCATTATAACCACATCATAAAATAGCACTACTAGGAGGTAACATGCATATATGTTGCATATTCACATTAAATATTTTTACAGTAATTCTATTTCTAAATATTATCATCTTTAGGACATAAATTATGAATTTTTCCAAAATATGTTCACAGATTACAAGGTATAAGCCATAGGACAGGCATGGAATTGATATTTTCTCAAAAAGAAAAAGAAGAGCAATGTGGAGACAGAACTATAGGCTCCTACTGGATTTTAATAATTGGGATATCAGGAGAAAAATTTGTGAAGGGAATGAGTTTGCATTAGTGCTTTTCTACTTAAACTTAGAAAAATGCATGAGTTAGTGTCTACAGTATCTTCCAAGGAAATTATGAAAACTTCCTGAAATTAGGCACAAGAATCAACTGATAATTTAATCATGCAAGGTCTCCTCTGATGTCTGTAGAATCACATAGAAACTTCAAAAGTAAACAGGAAATCCAGAAAGGCATACTGAGAAGAGGACCTTTTCTAACAGAAAAGTGTTTTACGTCATTCAAAAAATACAGAAATACAAAAACATGGAGGTTTGCATGTGCAACAGGAACAGTTACTAAAAGAACTTTTACCCTTCATCCACAAAGGTTGAAGCTGTGTTCTGTGTCACTAGTGTATTTTGCGACAGATGTGATAGAACAAAACCTTAGCTAGAGCCAAGGAGGCATCTAGATTAATTAGTGTATCTTTGAAATGTGGGAAGCAGGCCTCTTGACTAAAAATAATAAAGACATGAGAATCAGTAGACTTTTTACAGAGGAGAGAGTGCTTGCTTCTAAAATGTTGTTTTCACTCATGTACTACTGTTCAAATTTTCAGTTTCCAGAGAAAGATGAAAGTAATTCAGAATATAACATATTTGGGAGCATGGCCAGGAGGGTAATCAGGTCAGCCTGATATGCCCCTGGTTGAAAATTTACAGATACTTTTTGCTTTTGATTCAGCTTCTTAGTACAAATTATGCTGAGTTCTTGTAATACATGATACGTTAAAAAAATGGTGAACAATTCATTGTAACAATTTTGCAGTGAAATCACAAACTAAGAGCAATTGCCCAAAATTTTTAATATCAAACTTTTGTGCCAGTTTTGATTAGCCCAAAGATTACCAAAGCATGAAATGTGACAAATGATAAAAATGATATAGAGCTGGCCATCTAATCATTCCATAGATGCTACAAATTATGCCTTCATGGTTTCTCTATTCATGGCTGGTCCCCTAAAGAGGAAAGAGAGGCTTTAGTAGTGATGGAGTTGTTGGGAAGAGAGCTTTGAGTATGTCCTTAAATATTCCAGTGTCACTTCCTTAATGGGGTTTTCCCAAACTTCCCTACATAAAATAATTGTGCAATATTCATTCTCAGTCTCAGAAATTTTCTATGCATAAACTTGTAGTTTTCTTAGTATTTACTTGTTATGTTTGTTTTTGCCCAATGGAACATAAGGGTCATGAGATACAGGATAGTGACTACAGTACCTGTTTTGAGAGACACTCCAAGACAGGATTTAAGAACACACATTTGAGGGCTGTAAATGGAGTAGGAATACCAGTTATGCCTCATGCCAGAATATTGTTTAACTTTTCTGTCTTCTCATCTGTAAAACAGAGTTAATAGTAAGATTCACGCATTTTAATATATAATACTAACAATTTACTTCAGATATTAAAGTACTAAATACACAGTAACTTTTATTATTATTGCTTTCTTCAGTGCCTTGAACAGATGAATGGGAAATCACAAACACCATATATATATATATATAATCTTGCATATATATATATATATGTTGTATATACATATATACCAGTGCTCCACTTTAATAATTAAAACTATATGAAGTACACATACATCTTCACTATATACATGGAACTTTACCTATCTTTAAACTCAAAACTGTATTTGGGGCTGGGGATTTAGCTCAGTAATTCTGGCACCTGCCTCGCAAGCACAAGGTCCTAAGTTTGATCTCTGGTCCAAAAAAAAAAAACAAAACAAAACTGTATTTGGCACTGGGAGTCAATACTTCGGGCAAATTCACTACTTGCCATCCTGTGGTCCTCAGATATAGTGCAAAGTATCTTCAGAGCTATAGCACACAGGTTACAATTGACCAACCCACAAATATTTGTCTTACATTTGACAATTTTTTTAAATAAAACTAGTTGTAATTAACAAAGTACAAATTCATTGAAAATTATAATTGAGTTCAAAGGGACTTTTATTATTTTGTAGTTCCTTAGCAAATGATTAAAAAAATACAACTAGTATCTCTTGGGATTTTGAAAAGTTTGATATTTAAAAGGAAATTTTAGAAAAGTTGAAAACCACATATCTAGGTCATGCTACATTACTAAATGTCATCCCTTCCTCCTCAAGCTCACTGGCAATCAGAAAAGGGCACTCGAGTCAAGAATATACAAGAACTAAGGAGCTTCTGCAAAACCTTCCCTTGTAAAGGGCTCTGGTCATCATCATCTGATTTTGTTTATAGTCGTGAACTTGACTTCACTGAAAAGGTCAGGCCTTTGGCCAGAAGCAACCACTGTGGAGAGACTTCCTTCTTTTTTTAAATATAGTTTAGTTAAATTGACATTAAAAGAAGTTTAGTTGGCCACAAAGCTTGTGCTATTGCAATGTTTCAAAATGCCTGTGGTGTCTTTTTAAATATTTATATTCAGTCAGAGGCTTTTCAAGAGGGTGCTGAAATACTAGCAAATTCAGCACTGAACCTCTGTTGTCATTCCAAAGCACACTGCAACATTTGTGCAGTAAATACTACAATTGTACTCTGAAGTAGACACAAGAGGGAAAAGAGTGAACTCAAGGAACATTCTTGTGGAAAAGCCATCATGGAACTCCTGTATTAAGAAGAAGACTCTGGTGTTCTATTATATACTCCAGTTATCTAGAATTTTGAATAAAAAATACAACTATTAGTAAGACATAAATTCTAAATTATAGACCCTATTTCTGTCTATGAGTCAAATAACAAAAAATCAGCAGTCTTTTCATTTCCTATATCATGACCAGTATTGGAGGTAAGGCACTGACAGAGCAAGTACGAAGAACTCATAAAATCTAAGTTAATTTTCACCTTCTGGAATGCAAGACTTCACTTCCAAATGTGTCTTGATGGGGCCAGAGATTTAGCTCATCAGGCAGAGAGGGACAGAAAAAGATGTAGAGGGACAAACACTCATATCTCATTTCACCAGGAGAGGGACAGATAAGAGAGAAAGGACAGGCAGAGATTTGTTTGGTGGAGGTGAGAGCTTTGGAACTGACAACAAATGACACACAGACTTTCTGATTAGTAAGAATCCTTGGGAATCTGTTGTGAAATTCCACTTTGTAGGAAGTCAATCTAGATGAGCTTTCATTGCTTGTTACTATGAATTTATACTTTGCCTTTAAGAATCTACTAGACTTTTGTACCCCACTTATTTTGCCTTTGTGTTTTAGGACATTTTAAATGTTAGAGTAAATAAAAAATAGAAATGAATATGAATATATACATACATACATATATATATATATATATATATATATATACTTATATATATAAAATGTCTTGCTATAACACTAGGGCTGGGTCACAAGCTGTCTTGGGTAATGAGAATAGAATTGATAGGTATCACATACAGTCACAAGAAGTTAAAAGTGAGGATATGCCTACTACCCCCTCTTCTTCTAAAACCACTTAACACCTGTTGCTAAATTCACATAAATGACAAATAAATCTGCTAACCTTTTTAATATTTCATATCCTGTTTTGATACTGAATACATAACATGTTCTTAAGAAACGTAGCATTTCTGAAGAAACTGAAAATTAGTTATTAAAGAAAAATGCATTGGCTTTGGAGCTTCATAAAAGCTGATTTGAAACACCAGGTTCCTATCATATGATTGAGATTCTTGGAAAGTTCAATAACTTCTGAGTGTTAGTGTGGTTTTTTTGTATAATGCATAAAATATCATATAATATGTGGGACTATTCTGAAAATTTAATTAGGTAAATAAATCTGAATGAATGAGATAGATGGGCAGACAGACAGACAGACAGACTGATAACAGAACCTTCATATCCCTATAGTACATGAAACATTTAAGTGACTGTTTTTTCTATCCTGTATTATTTCTAATAAATATAATTTGACTACAACTTAATTAGATGGTTAGAATATAGAGTTTTGAGGATAAAGGGTACCTGGAAAATCAAATACAGATCTTTATTATACAGCTGTGCAAACTGACTAGAGAAGTGAATAGCACTGCCTACAGCAAGGTGCTCTTTTTTGCTACCATTTGCTGTCAAATTACACAAAATAAAGCAGTGTTTACAAATTTAATAAATCATTGTCCTTTATTTTAGATGTCAAAGCACTAAAAATGTGGGATTTAAAGAGATATTCATCACATATTTTATTTTAAAGCAGCTCCTCAGTCTTGTTTAACTACACTGAAATCAGAGGCACAGATGTTTTGAGTAGTGGTCAATCATGGTGACTGTTGGGGCAAGAGAGGACAGACAGCCGAAACCCTGACTCCGAGTCCCGGAATGCTGGTTCTCACTGGGACACAAGTGTCCTGAAGGCGACGTGCTGGAGCTAAGTCCCTTGACCTACAAACAACTCCCCAATCTCTTCTTTATTCCTATTTCCGATTTACACTCCCTTTTAGTCATGAACAGATGTTGTTTTATCTAGATGTTATGTCTTTAGTTTAAACAATATGTATCTGCTCATGACTACTGTTAATCACTGCTCATAACTGCTGTTAATCATCAAACCGCTGTGATCATGCTTTTGTGTGTGGCCTTGAAACTGTATAAAGACCCTGGGTGAGAAATAAACTTTGCCATTAGCCATCAGCTTTTGGTCCTTCATTGTGTCCGCGGTCGTCTCCCCGAGTGCCCTCCTCTAGAAGGAGACCTCAACAGGTGACAGTGGTGTTATTTTCTCTATACAGTTAGCTTGTGAGTAATTGATTGTACAATTGTGGCTGCATTAGCAAATCAAGAAACTTACCTTGTGCAAGGAGTATCGATTAGGAATATCAGAGTTCATTTATATAGACTTTGATCTCAATTCCAGCTTCACTATCTTTTAATTCTAGGACCCTATGCAGTCTCACCACGTTTTTGCTATAAGTCCCTCACTGTGTTTCCTCTTCTGTGAAATCAGCATAAGAGCGCTTACTACATAGACTTTTTCTGAGGATTAGAGTTAATGTTTGTAAAACCACTTAGCATAGTGTCTGATGAATTGTAAACACCCACTAATGATAATTATCATGATATACAAAAAATGTGTTTCTGTTTTTATAATCATACAATGGATAAATCTGGATATAAATATTCATGTCTACATGTATATTATCAATAAAAACATGTTATATCTGCTAAACTATTTTGGCACATCTATAGAAACATTATTATAATGAGATTACCATATGGAATTCCTCAAGAAGCTTGAATTCAATCTTATATAATATAGACTTGAACATCAAAATTTGTACAAATTATATTTTCAAAATACTCTAAAATGTTAGTATAGACTTTTAAAGCAATTTATTAAATATAAAATATTTTCCATAACTTCTTAAGTAGAATATTACCATATTTCATATTTTGTCAGACTTATAATTACTGTGACACAAATTTTTCATTTCAAAGCTGCTCCTAAGGTGGAACATAGAGGGTCCCTAGACAATCCCCAGGCACTTTTATTATAAAGTCATGCAAGTAAATTAAATGATTAGCTTTCCTTTTTGCTCATTTGAATTTTTCTTTTGAAATCGAAGGGAGAAAGATTGAGCTGTCTATTCTTCAGGGGAATAGAATACCACTAAATTTTTTATGAATAAATTAGTAAATTAAAGGCTGAAGTAATCAGCTGTGACCTGTTTTGTTTGCCCTTCAGAAAATGATCTTTTCTTTGCTTCCAAAATCTTTTGAATTGTTAGCACCATTAAAAATATTTCTTATGATTTCACCAGGGTGTCATTTGTTATTGACTCTGTTGGTTTTCACTCTGCTCCTCTCCATGCCTGAACCAAATGACCTAACTTGACTGCACAATTGTGCATTAGTGTGTGGAATAACCCTCAGCTCTTTAACAGGTACAGGTTTCAAGGTTGTTTTGTGTCTACTAAGCTGTTCCTTTCCCCTGCCTTCCCTCCTGGGTTGTTTTTATGGGATCAGGAAACTCTCAGGTTCAGATTTGTACTCCAATTTCCTGATTAGTATTTCATTTGCTTGTGAGCTACAACAATCACAATAAGGTTCTAAAACAATCCATATTTCCCAGGAGATGAACCCTCTCTTTTTTCTGCCAACAATTGGCTAGAATTCTGATTTCTACCCAGGGGACTCCCACATTTCAGAAACTAAACAATCCTGTCCACCTGTCTCTGAGTAGCACCTCTGCTGAGAAACTCCAGATCCTGGGCCCCATCCACCTGATTTGCATCTCAGAACATCAAGCCCAGAAGGGGAACGAATTTGCTCCATCTACTTGGACCTTGAGTCAAATTCCTGCCACCTTCTTTGGAAGCCAACTTTCCAGCTCAGGAAGTTTCCCCAGTCTGCCAATTCTTTATTTTTCTCTTTCTGTAGGCCAAAGTATTGACTGAAGGCCCATTTTACCTCATGACCTGAGCTATTGTGTTTATTACAATAAATAGTTTCAGGAGCCGGATGCTCTCTTCTTTCTCTTTGGAATCTTTTCTTGATATAGTGTCAATAAAGATACATTCAGATATATTTCCTAGCTTTCTGGGATACTTTGAGCTTATTTCCAAGTCTCTAATGCTCTAACACAAAATTATATGGGACTGTCTACATCTTTTATACCAAGTTAAAACAAAAAAAAAATGTGTGCAGTATATTTTCTTAGAACCAAGAAGGAGGAGGGGGCTATTGTAGCAAGATCCTCTCTCCCACCATATTTCTTTTTTTAATGAATTTTATTGGTGCGTTTTAGGTATACATTATAATGACATTCATCATTGGAGATTTGTACCTTTACATAATATACCTTGATGCTTATTGTTTCCCCATTCCTCTGCTCTCCCTTGAACCCTTCTACCCCACTCCCAGTGACTTGTCATTCTATGTTTTCCTCATTATTCCTGTTGTTTTCACTGAGATCCAGCTTCTTTTTCACTCCAACTTCATGCTGCAGTGAACATTTTCATAATAGAAATTTGCATTATTTTTTTTTAGAAATGTGTGTAGGACAAATTCCTCAAATTGGACTTGTGTAGAGAGTTGAACATTTTTTAAGAAGCATGGTGACACACTAAGAAAATACATTGCTGTTGCTTTCCACTCACTGTTGAAGGAATCATTGTGGTTGTGAGAATGAATGGCAGAAGGGATGAAAGAAAGAAAAAAAAAGGAAGAAAAGGAAAGAGGCAATGAGGGAACTGGATGCTTTTCAGGCAAATGAGAGGAACAGTTGGTAGGGAGGAAAATATTTAAACTATGCCCAAGCACAATGACATCCACTTCCAATGTAAAATTGTCCTCTGACTGTAGCTGAAAACCCACAAGTATTTTTTGTAAATCTTATTTTCATGATCAGAGTCTTCTCAGACTGGCATAATTACCTTTTGGCATTTCATCAGCACTTGGCAAAATTACAGAAACATATTATTTCCAGAAAGGAATCTAAAGCCTTTTATTTTTTAATACATGGCAGTTGGCTAGCTATTAACCAACTTTTTTCCTGAAGAATGATATAATTAACCCGAGTATGTTACATCCCCATTGCTGCATGTCCTATGACTGAATTTTTAAAAAGTCAGTCTTCATCCAATTATAAGCCAGCATTTAAAATTATTATTTATTCATAACCCTAGTTTCTTGCCAAAATTACCTCAAGTTCCCTTTCCCATAATAACTGTTTGTTATTTTCACTCAATTTCACCCTGACAGCTTTGTTTCAGGCCACATAAGGATACATCTCCAGGGAGAGAGATTATCAATGTAGACAGGGTGTGTCTTTTTTTAAAAGCAGTTTTTCTTTCGATTTTGTGTCCTCATAAGGACATAAACAATGTTGATTCTTGTGGAAAGTGTGGTAAAGTTGAATGAAAATAGCAGACCCCATGCTTGGTCTCAGTACAAGTAGTTTGTGGGGAATTGCTA